GTCGGTAAATTTTAAAAAATGAGGACCTTTTTTTTTATATATTTTTTTATTTTTAAGACGGCAAAAGTTGTTATGGCACCCCCCCACCCACGTGACCCCTACTCGCACCGCCTCTCCTTAGCAGCATTACAAAAATTCAATCTTATAAAAATAAAGCAATACGCATAAACGTAAGAAGTGTAAATAGAAACTTCAATAAACCAATTACTCAATTAAGTAATAATAAAGATGTAAAACTAAAATATTTTTCTGAAGTTACTCTTGGTCTTGCGAAAAAATTATTTCCGATTTGATAACTTTTATGAAAGTTATGAAAAATCACTCAGGAAGAGTGCCACCAGTTTTTAAAAAATTTCTTTGTTAATTGATTTTAATGAATGAGTTCAATACTTATGCAATTCTTTTGTTACATAACTCTAACTCTTAATAATAGATAAAAAAAATCATTATAATCGCATTTTTAGTAATAAGTTTGCTTTCTTTCGGCCGAACACAAAACTTTTAAGCTTATTTTATTTATTAGACTAACAGCTTTTATACAAAATTGCTAAAAGATTAATTTAAAAGTTTAAATTAGCTAATATTTGGTAAAGTTATTGCACGTGTAACGTAAGTTAAAAATGGAAATGCTTATGTATGTTATTTTAATGTTTCTATTTTCTCATTAATAACTATAATAATGAATTATTAATAATTAAAAAAAGATGAGCAATTAATTTTGTTTTTTCAGCGCATTTTTAAGATTTTTAATAAATGCAAAAAAAATCGTGGCCATGTTATCAACAAAAAAATATATATGCGTGGTCATTCAAGGCGTGCGACCGCACGCGTCTCCTGAGAAGGCCTGATATATATATATATATATATATATATATATTTTTAACATCTTCACTTCCAACAAGGCTGCAAGCAACCACTATAAGAGTTGGAAGTTACTGGAAGAGAAAAGACTAAATCTGTAGAGCAAGATAACGATTGACTGATGACTTAAAAGATTGCAAATTATATGAATCAGGAAAGCAAGATGAAGGAAGCGAATTCCAAAGAACTGATGTTCGAGGAAAAAAACTAGAAGAATAAGAGTTTTTGAAGCACTTAGGAACAGTCACAGAAAAAGGATGAGACTTAATTGAATGATGAGTAACACAAAAATGAACTTTAGTAGATGGCACAAGAGATGCTAGCTCTTTAGAGCAGTGCCCATTGTAGTATTTGTAGAAAAGAGAAAGAGAAGCAACATTATGACGATGTGACAAAGGTTGGAGATTGGCTGCCAGAGCAGGTCCAACTATGTTTACAATTCGTTTTTGCACCTTGTCTAAAAGAGAAAGAGCATCATTAGAAGATCTGCCCCAGATGTGGCAACAGTATTCCATACAGGGACGGATTTGAGATTTATAGAGATAAAGAATAGAATCTGGAGTAAGAAAGTGTCGAGCTCGATAAAGAGATGCAACCTTAGCAGATGCTAATTTTGCAATGGATTTGATATACGGTTTAAAAGAAAGATCAGAAGTAAGAGTTAATCCTAGAAGATGAATGGTAGATGACTCATCTAGTACATTACCATTCATAAATATAGGAAGATCTAAATTATTACGATAACGATTGGCCGAATAAAATTGAGTTTTATCTGAATTAAAGTTCACCAGCCACTGTGAGCCCCATGCTGTAGCAGAAGTGAGATCCTTTTCAAGCTCAGATACCCCCTCCAAGCAATCAGAGAGTGTAGGCTTCTTATCATGACAAGAGTAAATGGTAGTGTCGTCAGCGAATAATGCCACCTTAGATGTGAGAATATCTGGAAGATCGTTAATGTAAATTAAAAAGAGTATAGGGCCAAGGATTGAACCTTGAGGAACCCCTGAAGTTACAGGATGTGAAGAAGAGTGTTGTCCATCGAGGACAACTTTTATACTACGATTGGAAAGAAAGGACTCAATAATCTTAAAGACGTTACCAGCTACACCATAAGAAGAAAGCTTATGGAGAAGACCAGCATGCCAGACTTTATCAAAAGCTTTAGAAATGTCAAGTGCGATAGCCTTAACCTCTCCACCTCTATCTAATGCACGGTAAAACCTATCGGTTATTACTGTTAGCACATCAGCTGTAGAACAAGAAGACCGAAATCCATATTAATGATCAGAAAGTAAGTTATTTGATTCAAGATGAGAGATTAAGTGTTTGTTGATTAAAGATTCAAAAACCTTGCTTATGACAGGAAGAAGACTAATGGGACGGTAGTTAGATGAATCAGATCGCTCTCCGGAATTTTTGAAAATAGGGATAACAGATGCTGCTTTCCAGCATGATGGAAAACAAGACTCTGATAAGCACTTGTTAAATAGTTTAGAAAGTATGGATGAAAGCTCCGGAGAACACCTCTGCAAGACTACAACAGGAATGTTGTCAGGACCACAAGCTGTTGAAGAGTCTAAGCAGGAAATTATTTTAGATACAGAAGCTGAAGTGATGCGAATATCAAGCAAGGGATCAA